CGCGTAGGCGCGGCGACGTTGTCAGAGGTGCGTTGCTCACCGTTGGGGGAAGGCTACGAGCCTACTCGTCCACCAGTGTAAGGCGAGAGAAGAGAATGAATGCAGAAACGGAGATACAGGCGTCAGCCTCCTAACGAGGGCCTATGACGGAGGAATGAATACGGAACCACGTGGCCTAGCCCGAACGGTGATATCGGCGATATCGGGGATGGCATCGGGAATGGCGTCAGCCACGTGGGGGGGGCGAGCACGTGACATGGTCGTCACGTGACAATGCAGGCGGGAAGGACGTGTGGTGGAGGGTCCGGTGGCGTGAGAGGGCTACACGGCGTCGGCCCGAGGGGGCCCCGCCTCCACGTGGACACGTTCAGTGTTCCGCGTGCTGCAACTTATCTTCCTCCCCTTCCCGCTGCATCAATCGCACCAAACACCTCTCTCATGAGTCTCGGAGTCGATACTGGCAAGCGCGCCGTCGCGGTCGACGTTGCACAGTTCCCGCTGTATGCTCCGAGTGCAGGGAGCATTAGCATCCTTGGACGGCACTTTGTCGATCAACATGGGCGTGTGCTGCTCCTCCACGGCGCGAATGTCGGGGCGGCTTCTAAAGTGTGAGTACAAGCTCGGTATTCTTGGAGAGCAGGAGCTGACCAAAGCCCCATCGAGCATGGGCTGGAGGCTCCGGAGAATGCGAGCTATGTCGGTCGCCCCTTCCCACTTGAAGGTGCCAAAGAGCACTGGGCGCGATTGGCATCGTGGGGTTTATCCTTTGGTGAGACTTGATCTTCCTGACTTCCTTCCTCCCCATCTCTTCTAAGCCTTAATGCTGAGTGGTTGTTGGGCTTTGTTTACGGCAGCTTACAACAGTTCGCATCATTTTCACATGGGACGCAGTCGAGCATGCTGGCCCTGGAGTCTATGATGAGGAGTACCTTTCGTATCTCCGCGACCTCCTCATCTCACTCCGCGGTACTGGACTCGTGGCGTACGTCAGCGTGCACCAGGACGTGTGGTCGCGCTACTCGGGTGGCTCGGGTGCGCCAGCATGGACTCTTTCCGCGGCAGGATTCGACATGACTAATGGCGGGGAGAAACTCGAAGCCAGTGGCGCTGCGTGGCTTAATGGTGTCAAGGGCGGACGACTGCCAGGAGAGCGCGGACTGTGGCCTACGGGATATCAGAAGCTGGCTTGCGCGAGCATGAAGTGAGTCCTCTCTTGATCATAGCCCGGCGATCTCTAACGCCAGCACGTTATTTTGGGGTGGTGAGACATTTGCACCCAGTCTGAAGGTTGGATCAAAGGGGATCAACATCCAGACGCACCTCCAGGACGCTTTCCTTGCTATGTGGAGCAAGGTTCTTGATGCCGTCGGTGACCTCGATACAGTGATGGGCTTTGAGGTAAGCGGCAGCGCACTGATTAACTGACGATAGATGCTCAATGAACCGCATGGCGGGTACATCGGCCTCTCGACAATCGACGAATGGGTGCGTTGGCATCATTATTGGTCAGACACAATGAAGCTGACCGTACAGAACTACAATACCGACCTGCACCTTGGCGAGTTCCCGTCGCCTTTGCAATCGTTTGCGCTGGGTGACGGGCATCCAACGGAGGTGCCGGTGTACAAGCGCTCGTGGCCTCATCCCACTCGCCTTGCGCGTCGCACCATTGTCAATAAGCTTGGCGTGCGTGCTTGGTCCATCCCCTGCCCGTGGCAGCGAGAGGGAGTGTGGTCCTGGTCTGCGGATCAGAACAAGGCTGTCGCCCTCCAGCAAGACTACTTCACCAAGAACTCGCGAGGCCAACCCGTCTCGTTCTACGAAGACTTCTACTACCCCTTTGTGAGGCGGTGGGACAAGCTGCTGGCCTCAAAGGCGCCGAAGAAGGCGCGGTTGCTCGAGCCAGTGCCAAACGAGTACGCTCCTAAGTGGCCGGCGGAATCGCGCCCGCGCAACTTCGTCTACGCACCTCACTGGTAAGCTGATCCGGAGACGCAGCGACTGACTGTAGGTACGACCTGGCTGCGCTTTTCAGCAAACAGTTCGGTACCATGACCGTCAACGTCCAGGCTTTAAGCCGGGGCAAATTCCTGCCTATGTGTCTGTACTTTGGCAAGAGTGTGCGGCAAAACTACGCCACTCAGATCCGCACGCTTGTGCAAGAGGCAAACAAGCAGTTGGGAGAGGTTCCCATTGTATTTGGCGAGTGTGGTGTCCCCATCGATCTCAAGTGAGTTGGGATTTATGCGACAGCTGACATTAGCGGCGAAGAGGCCTTCCACACCGGCGATTGGAAGTGGCAGTTGCGCATGCTTGACGCCCTCATGTTTGCGCTTGAGGTCAACAGTGTGCATTTCAACTTGTGGAACTACAACCCGGGAAACAACGATGTTGTGGGAGACGACTGGAATGCTGAAAGTTTCTCGTGGTTCAGCGAGGAGAACCGACGGAAGGCCATTGAGGCTGCGCCGGTAGACCAGCAAGCATCACTGGCATCTGACCTAGATGTTGGGGCACGTCTCCTTGATGTCCTTGTGGTAAGGTCTCAATCTATCGAGCCCGACTGACATCATCAGCGACCTTACGCCATCGCGACAGCTGGCACGCCCCTTTCTTCTGTCTACGAGCCATCCACGCGTCTATTTACGCATCGGTGGACTGACATGCCGCAACCCACGTCACCCACCGCTCCCCCGCGCGCTCGTGTGACAGAGATATTCCTCCCGCGGCGACACTACAAGAAAGGAGAGGTCAAGTGGTTTGCCTCTGCAGGGGGGCGCGTGCACTTTGACTGGGAGCGGCAGCGGCTGTGGGTGTGGTTTGACGACACGGACGAGTTCATCTCTCGTGGCAAGGCGGTTACACGCCGGGTGGACTTTTGGGTGCTCGAGGCGCCGGACAAGACCAAACCCGCAGAGGTAATTGGGTTGCTCATCGTGGTAGCAGGGTTCTGCTTCTTCCTCGCCAACGAGTGGGTGCGCTACACTACTGGGAAGCCTTGGGTGGAGATGGTGCTTTAGCACCGGCTGTGAGGAGGGAGCGGTGCCGTGGCTTGATGAACTATTACGTCCGTGGCCCGACATTGTCGATGCGGGTCGACACGATAGCCTCTGGACTAACATGATGGGTGTCTGACCAGTGGGACTTGTGAGTCTGTCGGTCCAGGATGCCGCCACGCCATGCATGGCAGTGCAACGGCAGTCTAGTAGAGGGCTCTCTTTTGCGCGGCGTGATCGTCATAATTATGGACTTGATGGAAGGGAAACGATATGATGGATTGCACAGCATCTTTTGACGATCTGACGTCAGCTCCGACCTTGAAATTCATCAGGCCGATCCTCAACCCCTGATCTGCATGTGTCCTGCATGGGCTGTCGACCAATCTTGACTGCGCTTGACAATCTGCATCGCGCTAAACGTTCAGCGCATTCAGCCGTCTGCACAGCATCACTTTGTCGCCCCGGCCGCCCCGGAAACCACATGAGCCTCTCCTGCACCTGTGATCCCGTGTACATGTATATGCCTATTTTGATGGCTGCCACACATGTGGTAGCACCGCATTCTACCCGCTGATCAACATGAGGCCGAGGAACACGGCCGTGTACTGTCTGTGTGCTGTGTGCCGTGTGCCGTGTGCCGCGTGCCGTTACCCGTGTATGCGGTGGTACGCCGACCGCCTCTCCCGGCGCGGTATCCGAGGTGCTACTAGTCGCAGCGCTCAACTGACAAGTACAATATTCAGTGACGGCCGCTCACGTCAGAATCACGCCAGGGCCGATATGCCGGGCCCCTGCAGCGTCGTGGTTTGCGCTTGATGATGCGCTGGCCGCACGTGGGCGCTAGGTGGATGACGGGTGCGTGGGTGAGCAAGGCGCACGGCGTGGTGAGATTTTCCGGTGGAAACGTGTGCGCTACGCTTGGAAACCGCGAGAGAATCCCGCAGGCAACCCACTGCGCCATGCGCCATGCGCCATGCGCAATGCACTCTTCACTCTAGCCTCTCTGACGCACAGCACTCGCAGGCGCATCGGCCGCATCTGGCCATCTAAGACACTGGATGGTCCACATGGCCATACTGACGTGATGTGGGCTGCGTCCCGGCTGCCAACTGGACTTGCATGCCTCAGACAAGATCTGGCGGCCGAGGCGGGCGACTACGCTCCCAATGCCGTTAGCAATGAGGTCTGCCGGGCTCGGAAGGAGCATGGAAGATGGAGCAAAATGGGGTGCGGCAGCTTGCAGGCAGTCGGGACTCGGCTCGGGCAAGATAAAAAGCCAGGTCCCGAGCCAGGCACTCGATTCCACGGTGGCGGCGGCGTGGTCGCCGAGGTGGAGGCGGTGCAAGTGCAGAAGGGGAGCGTTGCGCCACCCAGGTACGAAAAAACAGAGGTCTCTATGGATTCCAGGGTCCTCGTCAACCGTTGGAAAGGTGGTACGTATTAGTAGAGGGATGAGGATATAGAATGAGACAATAGGATGATTATTATTATTAACCCGGGAACCCTCCCGGCTTGCGTGCCCCGTTCATGCGCCGCAGTTGTCCGGTCCTTGCCGCCCGCCCTGGCCCAGTGGGTTCTCCAACCCACCATAGATAGACATGTCCATCAACAACAGCGCCACCCTCGTTCAGTTTCTCGCATTAACGCATTCCAAACTCGTCCCGATACACGTCTTGCACAACGCTCTCTACATCTCCCCTCCCACGGCTCTCTTCTCTTCTACCACGTATACTTGCTGTGATTTGCACCGAGCACACCCGACCAGCTCGACCATCACCCATCGACACACCCTACTCGACCCTCTCTCGGCCTTTGCACCCGAACTATCGCTGCCCATAGCGCCACCCGCCAGCCAGCACCCAGGCGACGTACGCAACAAAGATCTACTGTACTCATCCCCCTCCCCCTTCGACGTCTTCTCATCTCGCATCTCGTATCTCACTTCTCGCATCTCGCACCAACCCCACCCCTCACCTTCGTCTTCGTCTTCGCCATCTCTGCTTGCTTCGCAAAGTCTCAATCTCCCGAACTCCCGAACTTCCAACCTCCCCAGCGTAAAGGTCTAGATCTAAAGCACCCAAAATGTGTGAGTAGGCTGCTGCCACTGCGCTCCTCGTTCCCCTCCTCTGGTCACCTCCCTCGCCTCCCAACTCCCGATCCCCCACCTCTCTCGTTGTTCACGGCTGTTCTCGAGCTTGATCGCCTTTAGTTGCGGATCACAAGTGGTGTCTGAGGGCGTGTCCCCAACGCGGCCAACACACCCACCAACGCATCACACCTTAACAACGTCCCATCCTGTGCTTGTGTGCTTGTATGCGTGTGCGTGGGCGACTGCGCATTGCACTCAATTCACCACCCCCATCACCCTTCCTCCTCGCACAAGCACCACACCCCACACATCCACTCAACCACACACATCACCCCCCTCGCATTCTTCTCTCCATCTCTCTCTCTCAATCCCATCTCCCTCCTCTTGACTCCATCATCTATTCAACTCGACTCTTCCGTCCCACAAACCCCTCCTCCACCCTCCCAAAAGCGTCGAGAGACAGAGAGAGCAACTCGCTCGCTTCTCCTTCGCACTCTTTCTCGCACCCTCACCAGGTGCACGGACCATTCCAGCTTCGCTACAACTCGCGCTTCTCCTGTGCACTCGTACTACCAGACCTCATTCCCCTCCTCCCCCACTCCCCGCCACCCACATCCCGTCCCCAGTCGTCATCCATCACAATGTCTTCCCCAGGCGGTACTAACATCTCCTCGTCGCCTTCGACGCCACCATCCTCTTCAGCCGCTCCTGTCGACCCCTCCACCCCCGGCCCCACCACCACGTCCCCAACCCCCACCCCCTCTGTTCCGCCCGACACTTCTGTCAATCCCGGCTCATCAAACCCCGGTCCCAGCGGCAGCAGCAGCAACCCCGGTCCCTCCAACCCCGGCTCGTCCAGCAATAACCCTGGGCCGAGCTCTGACCCGGGCACTGGCCAGTCATCTGTTAACCCGGGACCTTCCTCGCAATCTCCCGGCCCATCCGCAAGTTCCAATAATCCGGGACCCAGCTCCAATGCTGGCGGCGGCGCCGGAGGCAGCAGCGTACAGCCTGGTCAATCCGATTCCGTTGGCCCTACTGGCAGCAGCGGTCAGTCTGGTTCCTCCAGCGCCACCAGCGGCGCTGCCGTTAGCTACGTTACTGTGTAAGTCTGATTGCTTTTACTTGAGCCGGCCTGAAAAGCTTACACCAAGTACACGCACGGATGCCAACGGCAACATTCAGACTGCGATTGAAACCCGCCCCGTTGGCGGCGACTCCAAGTCGAATGGTGAGTGGCGTGGCGCAAACCGCTGGTTTTCTATGCTGACTGATCAGTCGGTCCCATTGTGGGAGGTGTTGTCGGCGGTGTTGGCGGTGCGATTGTTATCGCCGTCCTCGTCTGGCTTCTCTTCCGTCGCCGCAAGCGGAACTACCGCGACGACTTTGACGATATGATGGTGAGTCCTCGAATTTTGAGTCGTCGAGCTGGCAAGCTGACTCTCCAAGTTTGATCCGGCACGTGCTCAGAACCATGCTCCCATAGACCTTGCGGACACGGCCGATGCGCCGCAGATCGACCCATACAAGTACACCCCCGTCGAAGGCGTCGCAGCCACGTCCACTGGACATCATGACCAGGGACAGTACGGCAACTACAACGCGTACGACAACTACGGCAACCAGCAGCAGATGGTACAGACTGGTTACGGCCCCGCGACTGTGTCCGGCACCTCGGAGTCTGGCTACGTCAACGCTGCAGGTGTCGGCGCGGGCGCCGGCATAGCTTCTGGCGTGTCTCGCGCCACCTCTTCCTCTGCCACCTCTGCTGGATATGCCGGCAGAGGCTCGGGTTACCCATCCCCTGGTGGCGCACCGGCGGGCTACGGCATGGCCGGTCCAGTGTCTGGTCCCAGCAGCGGTCCCTCGGACCAATCGCACATGTCGGGCAAGCAGCTCGAGGCATACCAGGACCGCCAGCGTCTGGCGGTTCAGAACCCTTCGGGCCCTGGCGGCGTCACCGTTCACCAGGACGGCGGCGCTTTCACCGAGGCGCAGGCGTCTGGTGCAGAAATTCCGCCTACGTATGACTCGATCCGCAGATAATCACCACCACCTCGATCATACCCCCCGGCCCTTCTCCGCCTACAACATTTTTGGCTCATCGCTGCATCTGTCCTACGTCCGCGACCTTACCAACTTACTACTGCTTATAATAGACCCTTGTGTACTGCGCGTTCTGTGATTTGTATGCCCACCCATGTCACTCATTCAGACTGGAGCAAGTGGTGCAAGCTTTGTGGAATGATGGCGTCCGCAGAGATCAGGCACGCGTCGCCACAGGGTGTGCGGCCCGAGGTTCAGGGCTTGTCCGCTGTCAGCCGAGGCATGTGCGCTTATCATCACGTTATGCCTATGAATGAGCTGGAGAGCTGATATAGCTAAGATCTTTGACCGTGCAGATGATAAAGCAATCACTCTTCGTTCATGCACATTCTTCCACGCTGCATTATATCTCCAAGTTATCTTGTCCTCTAGAAGGGCATCCGATGGACCCAGCCCCGGCACGTCGTCAATCAAGCCAATCATATTTAGGCCGCTTACACATAGGGCGAGTGCTGGTCCTCAATGCCCGGGCGCACAACCCCACTTGGTGCTCTGAATTTTCACATCAGTAGCCGGCAGCAGCAGACGGTGCTCGCGATTCCCACACTTTCTGGGAGTTTACTGCGTCGGCTCTTTAACGGCTACTTGGGGGCGATTACAGTGCGATCAAGATTAATGGGCCGGTGTTCTCTGAACGCGAGCAAGCTTGTCGACGAGGGTCACTTGTCCCTCGTCGTCGCTTTGTGCATCAAGAGGCTCGGCTCTGGCAGACACGAAACTATCAGAATACCATCACCGAGGTTTCCACCTGATGTGCCATCCCGCAAATCCTTAAAGGCCGCGTTCTCGGAGAGATACTCCAGTTATTCCAGGATGTTCTTGTTGAGACAATGGCATGGCATTAGGAACGCCTTTGTCCCCTTCGTGAGAATAGAGTCCTGTGATTCAGTAAGAAAGGTGGGGAGTAACGACCATGCAGTTAGGATGGGTACCCCACATTGGCGGACGGGTGTTGCCGCTGCTTTCATCCATGTGATAATAGTGGGCCTGCCCAAGAGGTTCGCCCCATCTCTATCCCCGGCGGCCGGGGGACTCTCGCTGTAGCCCATCTTGCATGAGGACTGTGAGTTCAGCGTTGCCAAGGACCGGCCATATGGACAGCGCCAATGCAATAGCAATCGTTCCGAACGAAGCCCCAACAAACACATTGCGACTGGGAGCATATTTTGCCTTAGCTCGTCTCTGCCTCGCTCCGATACCCCATCGTTATGTCCACTATCAGAATCGCCAGTCTCCTCTCTCCCGATCACAGCCCAGTTCCAGAACTCGTTCTGGAGGCCTGGAATCGTTGGTGTTCTCGAGACTGCGAGGCATGCCAGGTTTAGGAATTGGGGGGCATCACAGTCCTAGAGACTGGGAGACCCTGCTTGCTCCCGGCACATGCAGTGCGAGCGTGCAGCGATTGTAATATCATAGTATGCGGAGTTTTTATTGCGGGTCGAAAGGTAGCACGCCAGCTCGTCGTCTACACGCACCTGACCTCTAGCTGGACCCGGTAAACAATCTCATAGAATCATTGACATCTGGATAATCTGAAGTTTGCCGGAATGGACTCGACAGAGTTGACCCGCTCAAGAACTGGCTTGCTGCAGCGAGACCGGTGGCCGGCTCTCATGCCATGTCCAGGCCCCCTTTGTTGGCATGGATGCATCCGATTCGCGTAACCCGACCGAGAGTGGGACAGGGGCAGCAGACCAACTCCACACATGACGTAACTGCCCGTTGAGCAGATCTGCCCCGTAACCACGCTTGTCCCCGCAGCCGCCCAGCCTAATGCATGCACTGCATGCATTCGGCCGTTGCGAGAGCGTAGGAAGGGCAGGGATTAATCTTGCACGTCATGGTGGTGGATGCATGCTGCGGAGGTGCCTTCGTGGTGGCAGGACAGTGGTCATGGCCGGGCCAGCGATTTGGAACGGGAGTGGAGTTTCTCGGGTTACAAAACCGCCTTTGTGCGGGGCCAGGGGTCGTGGTAGGGAAGGCCAGAGTGGGGAGGGCGCAGAAGCAGAGGGAGGTGGGTGGGGAACCGAGTGGAGGTCGCCACATTCGGACCATCCGGGCCCGCGATAGGATCTTGGCTGTGTTCGTGTGATCAAGTGCTGACGCTGTGTAGACGGATGCACTCGGCTGCCAGAGGGGGTTTACCCGCGCAGATATGGATGGGCCTGCCGCTGCCTGGGGCCGGCGGAGTCTTGGGTAGAGGGAGGTGGGTCACGTGCCTCATGGGCGAGCGACATCGCGTTCTAGTGCTGCATTTTTCACCATGCCGCTTCTTTATACTGCGGTGTCAAGCTCCCTTATAGGAGTGTGAGCAGATTCATTCGGGAAGACTACATGGCTGGAGGTCATGCAGAACAACGCAGGAACGGGGACGCAGTCACCATGGGGCGCCGAGACAGATAACCTCCATCCGTCTCCCGCCTCCAGTGACGCTCTTCCATTTAATATCTCAGCTGAACAGCAGAGTCCGACAGACAGCACAGAGCAGATTGGGGCAGCGGGAAATGGGACGCTGGTTAGCGGATGCCACCTTTTGCAAGATGGTAATCCCACACGCTGCACTGCCTCCTTCCTAATTCTCCTCGACCTTTCTGAGTCCTGTCACCGCATGATTGTCTGGGGGCAGTCTCTCAGGCCGCCTAACTTCTCACCTAATGCAGAACTGTAATTCTTTCGGAGGGGCAGAGCATCGGGTTTACGAGGGAGAGGACAACCGATATCGAGTAGTCGCCCAACCTCTGAATCTGCCCCCTGACAGCGCTCTTTCGCCTTCCACTATCTGATCTTCAAACCCCGTTGAGTAGAACTAGGACAGAGGGTAGTAGAAGATGGTCCGTGAACTGAGATTGCACGATCATCTCGAGGAGGTCGTCGTGTAACAGTTTTTTTCCACCGCAGGCAGTATTGCATGTTACAGCCTTATGCTTCCCGCAAGTGTTTTAGGGTTTGCAGTCAAACAGCTCAACACTTAGACAGGCATAAGTGAAACGGGTAATAATGCGAAGGCTCATCGAGGGACGAAGCCGCAGCGAGGCCGACGGCGATGGGAGGTAACGAGGAAGTGGTTCCTCGCTCACACTTGTGCTTCTCCTCGTCGCATGACACTGCTTCTCCCCACCGCTCGCCTTACCTTCTCTCCCTTTGGGTTGCTAGACGCTTTAGGGGTAGGGACAACGCTCTCCGTGAACATCTCGCCGGCGGATGGGGTGCCACACAAATCGCCACAAGCAAATCTGGTCCCGTTTCGGAGGCTCCTTCGCCAGCGGAGTTGGTCGGTATTGAAGCGCGACGCCTGGACCTAGTTAGCCGAGGTCGCCACCATACCTGATCCATCCAGTGATACATCACACCTGTCCATCAGTGCATGTATATTGCTTAGGGTCAGTCGAACAGCGAGCATGCAAATACATATCGCCTCGGCATGTACATCGTGGGATGATGGGAGAGTTTTCTGTGCGGTCCAGTGCCACTTTGGGAGGAATTTAGAGTTTGGGGATTCAGGCTCCACGTCGCACTTAACGTCAGCGCGTTTCGCAGTCGCCTCTCCTGGCTCTCCTGCTTGCCTCGGCTTCCTCTTTTCCGCCTCAGGGCATCTCCCCAACCGCAACTATACGTGGATCTCGCCAGCACAGGAGGGCTGGTAGTAGAGTCCACAGAACCATTCCCGAGGTGCCATGCCTACGCATGCTTGATGGCCACGGTCGCCGCCGCCACCCCAAGGGGTCAGATGCGAGCTTGGGCGAGTGGTGGCACCAAGCGTGCCTGACCTGTAACGGTTGCCCCCAGACCGTGTCAATGTCAATCGGGTATCGCAATGAGGGGCTCGAAAGCGACGAAGCTCTGACGGTGGTAGGAGTGGTTTAGTTAGGAGGACAAGAAGGTGGGGTGGGGGAGGGGGGCGGTGAGGAGGTCAGCTGGGCGGCATGAGAAGATGGCATGAGAGGGTGGGAGCGTGGGATCGGTGAGAGTGGAGGACGTGGAGGTGTTTATGAGGCTGTGGAGAGTTGTTTGCCACCAATTGAGGAATGGGCGAGGAGTATCGCGAACTATCGACGACGAGTGTACCCTGACGATGAATTGACCAGTCACGAATCGAGAGTGCCACCGTCACCCCCTCTCCCTCCTCTCTCCTTACTTGGAAGCGCACGGCGGACCAGCTCGGGGATTCAGAGTAAAAGGACGAGAGTGAGCGACAATCAAGCGCGTGGTGCGCAGTCGAAAACAGTAGCCACAGCCGCCGAAAAGCGCAATCCTCAATCGAGGCCACATTGTTGAATCGAGTACACGCGTGGAGGGAAGCGCGCAGACCAAAGCCGCCACCTGCACAGTCGGGTGTTTAGTCATTCTCATTTCATTCCTCCCATTCAACATCGTCCATCCATCCATCCATCCACTCACTCTTGCTCTCTTTCTCTTCTTCTCCCACTCTCTCCCACTCTCTCATTCTCTCATTCTCTCCTGTCTCGCTCCCCGCTCCCCGCTCCCCGCTCTCCGCTCTCCGCTCTCCGCTCTCCGCTCTTCATCCCTCCCCCCCATCTGTTGTTCGAGCCACCCCACCCCGTCTCTCTCACGCATACCCCGACGCGACTTGTATCCGATTCAGACATCTCGGTGGCCATGAGCGGTCAACCTCGCTCTGCACCGAGATGGGTGACAGCTCCTCCAGGAGTCTCGCCGCGCAAACCAACTTCCACTTCTTCAACATCAGCATCCGCATCAAAGCTCACGATCAACCCAACTCCAATCACCACCGCCACTGCCGCTCATGCCTCCAACACCTCCACCGTCGCTCCGCACACCCCTCACACCCCTCGCGTTCATCAACATGCATCATCGTCCTCATCCACCGCCCCTGCCGGTTCGCACGGGCCCCCGCCCGCAGCATCGCACCTCCCACAGCGCCCCTCCGTCCCAAAGCCCAACGTGCCAAAACCCATGTCGCGACCGCGTCCTCCTTCGCCCACACCACCAAAGCACCTCCTCCAAGCAACCGCCTCGTCTTCCACTCCATTATCATCATCCTCATCCCCATTTCCACGATCCACCACCCAACACCAATCTCCTCCTACTGTCGTCGGGCGCCCCAACGGCACTACTCTACGCACAAATGCTTTCACCACAAGCGCTGTGCATGCATACAACACTGTGCCCCGCATAGTGCCTGCCGCCCCAACCGTACGTCCCCACGCCCCTGACAGCGCACCAGCAGCCCAGACCTTCATGGCAGCAACGGATACAACACCCTCTCCTCCCCCTTCCCCTTCCCCTCCTGCTGCCCAGCCATCACGCTCCTCAGCCTCGGCTCCATTACAATCTGCCTCCAAACTCCGCATCGAGAAGACGACTGATGCGGCCGCGATGCCGCGCCCCCGCGTTGACTCGCCTGCCTCGACCGTATCGACTAAATTGCGCGCCTCCCCTCCCCCGTCATCCAAAGTGAGGCCGCCCGCCCGCCGCCGCATTGTGGAGACCGAGACACCACCTCCAGGACGTGGCAGCACGCCGTTGACGCGTCATCGCGCGTCATCTGAAGTCAAGCCCGCTCTTTCGTCTGATGCACTCGAATTCGCATCTGAAGCGGGGCGCCCGCGCTCCGCGGCGGGGCGCGAAGAACCAGTCGCGGGCACCTCGGCGAGTGCGGCGGGTGTAACACCGTTGGAGAGCGCGCCATCGACTCCCGCGGGCTCGATAGGCGGAACTGCCGCCAAGAAGAGGACGCGTCGCGGGTGGAAGGGATGGGCGATCGAGGTTGTCGACGAGGAGGGAAACACGTTCATCCGCTCGCCTAGCCCCGAGCCCGCGCCCGATCCTAATCAGCCACGGCGCAAGCGTGGGCGGCCACGGAAGAACCCGCTGCCTGACAAC